TTTTTTTTTTTTTTTTTTTTTTTTTGAGACGGAGTTTCGCTCTTGTTCCCCAGGCTGGAGTGCAATGGCGCGATCTTGGCTCACGGCAACCTCCGCCTCCTGGGTTCAGGCAATTCTCCTGCCTCAGCCTCCCGAGTAGCTGGGACTACAGGCGTGCACCACCATGCCCAGCTAATTTTTGTATTTTTAGTAGAGACGGGGTTTCACCGTGTTGACCAGGATGGTCTCGATCTCTTGACCTCGTGATCCGCCCGCCTCGGCCTCCCAAAGTGCTGGGATTACAGGCGTGAGCCACCGCGCCCAGCCTGATTGTTGTTTTTAAGACAGACTCTCATTCTGTCGCCCAGGCTGGAGTGCAGTGGTGTGATCTCGGCTAACTGCGGCCTCCAACTCCTGGGTTCAAATGATTCTCCTGCCTCAGCCTTCCAAGTAGCTGGGATTACAGGCCGTGCCACCATGCCCAGCTACTTTTTTGTTATTTTAGAAGAGACAGGGTTTCACCGTGTTGCCCAGGCTAGTCTTGAACTCCTGGCCTCAAGCGATCCACCGCCTCCGCCTCCCAAAGTACTGGGATTACAGGTGTGAGCCAGTGCGTCTGGCCTCCCTTCCCTCTCTATGGCAATTTCCAAGTGATTTTTTGAGCTCATAGAATTATTCCCTAAATTAAAACCTTCCCCTTTGAGACTGAGCAACATACTGAAACCCTGTCTCTCCAAAGAAATGATAATAATAATTACGCAGGAGTGGTGGTGCCTGCCTACAATCCCAGCTACCCAGGAAGCTGAGACAGGATTGCCTGAGCCCAGGAGTTTGAGACTGCAGTGCCCTGTGATCAAAACCTTCCCCTCTACCCTTAGAGTAAACCCAGACACTCTGCAAGGCCCGGTGTAGACTGGCCCCTTTCCTTCTGGGTGCCACGGTGCTGCCTGTCCCTTGCCTGCTGCACCAGCCTCTCCCATCTGCAGAGCCTTTGCACTTGCTCTTTCCCTCTCTGTGATGTTCCTTTCAGCCCCTCACAAGAGTGACTCCTTCCTGGCCATTCTGATTTCAGCTCACATAACACTCGGTCATAGCAGCCTTTAGCAACCGTGTCAGCTTGAGGTGCCCTCTGTCTGTTCATTTCCCTCATATCCCACAGCACGATCCATGATGGCCTCGCTGATCTACTGCCTGTCTTCCCCACTCTCCAAGGCCCAGCTCCATCCTGGTCAACATTCTACTCTCAGAATCTATCAAAGGTCTCAGGAAAGGGTAGGAAATCAATTCGATATTGGTTAAATGAATAAATGAATGAATCTGATTGCCCCATCCGAAAGCCAAGCATTACTTCCCTACCCAACTCCCCACCAAACAGAACCTCTGCTCACCCCCAAGACATGATCATGGGGAAACCATAGCATCTAGAACTTTGAATGCCCTCATTTCCTCCCACTCCCTGTTTCCCCAAAGCCAGGCAAGCGTTAAGTTCCATCACCTCCACCCCCTGAAATGTTCTTAAGAGCTGGCTACTCCCCTCCATTCTCCAAGCTCAGCTCGGGCCCCTCCCTTCTCACCTGGACCACCATACCAGCCTTCTCCCTGGTACCCTGACCTCCTGTTCCCCTCCCACACTGGCCTGACCCCGACAGATTCTTCTCACAGCTGTGTTGATGCAACTTTAGCACCATGCGTAACAGTCTCCCTGCGCCCTTCACCCTCAGGACCAAGTGCGAGTTTCTCAGCCTAGAATTTGAGGCCCTTTGTGAGGTGACCCAGCCACTTTCCCACCTCACCTCTCTTCCTGTGCTCCAAGCACACATGGCATCTCACAGCCCCCTGGCCAGACCTTGAATTTACACGGCTCCATACGGAAAGGTGTATGTGCTTTCCTTGCCCTGGGAATTCTTCCCCTTGACTACCGGCAGCCTTCCCCTTAGCCTTCTAGAATTATGTCTTCTGACCGCTCAAATTGGCCAGGTGTCTCCTATATGCCCTGCTCACCAGTCCACCAGCTCCTCTGCTTAAAATCCTCCCTACAGTATAACCCCCTCAGCCTGGCTGAGGCCTCTCACAACCTAGCCAAGGCCACCTTTCCCACCCTTGCACCTCACCCAACCTGTTCCAGACAGCTGCAGCGAATCTTTCTGACGTCTCCATTTACACCTCAAATCTTGGGCCACAGTGATCGATTACTCATGTCCCCAAACTTCAGTTCACACTGCGTGTTCATATCCACGGTCTCGATGAATCCTCTCAACGGTCCAGCGAGGCTGGCAATCAGATGCACTCCACAGCGCACAGCGGGCAGAGGCCACTCGGATCTCCGGCCAGAGTGACCGAATGACCCCAGCTCCAGCACCCTCACCTCCCTCTGGCTGCCCAAACCCTCCACAGCCTGCAGTCTGGGTCCTACCTCCTTCAGGAACATTTCCGGGCCACCCCCTCTTCTCAAGGTCCACTATTCATCCCACTTTGTCTTCCCATGCAATAACCCCTTGTCCCCTAGGGGACAACTGGGATCCACGAAGTCCACTCTCAAGGCTTTCTGCCCTCCACTTCCTATACCTCGTCCCCGGTCTCCGCAGCCCCTCCCCGAGCCTTCCTCGCAGGACCTCAGTTTCCAATGCCCACTGCCCTGGCGGCCACTCTGTGCCACACCGCAAGTCCTTCACTTGGGCAGGACTCTTAAGAATCCTGAACCTGCTGAACCTGCTCACTCCCCGGAGCCCGGAACGGTCGCCCTCTCCCTACGCAGCAAACTTTTAAGTCCGGAAGTAGTCGCAGGGACGACTTCTGAAATACTCCGACTTCTCCAGCAGCTTCCGGGTTCCAAAAGCATCA